ATTAGTAGCTATTTATTATTAGCATTGTTCTTCCGACGTCTGATTTCCTTTTAATTATAGGAAATGCGTTTTTCTAAGGTACATAAACTTTTAGGATTGACTGTATAGCCAATACATCCTTAATCGCTTCAACTGTTAAACGTAGTTTTTTATTTCTTAAACTTTTGGCAGAAGTCTTACGGCTCATATAACCAGCAAGAGGTATCGAAGTTGTTCGAAACGCGTTGAATCCGTCGCTACCTATTCCGCTCGAACGAGCACACCAACGACGGAAGATCGACCTGGCTTCTTCTTCCTTTTGCTTTCCTTCGGCTTACCTTGACAGCTCGTTGAACCACGTTTGAAGAAATCAAACCGGAGATGTCCTTTAACCCTTCCTAGCCCGAGAACTAGTTACAGAAATCACAGCGTAACTAAAACCCAGGCTAGATTTTTCTCGCGTTCAAATGGGAAATGTCTCATCGGGTAACGACGGGGTCGATTAATCGACCCGATGCAACGGAATAGAAGCGGGCATTGTACGCGCTCACTCGAAGCGCATCGTGCCGGAAACGCAAAAATCCATGCCAATAATGCGGCCGGGGGAAAGAATCGAGATTGATTAGAGAGATGTTCGCGGAATGCTCGCGATATTCCGGGAACCAGCGATATTTCTAGTGTTCCGCGAACGCCCCATCTTCTCATCGTTTCTCTCTTCATCGCAGAAATTGATTTGACTATAATCAGTTATTTAATAATAACCCGATTTAATTAATCGCCAGATTGCTTAGCGTGTGCAAACGACGCGTTTTAAAAATGTTGTGAGAGGGAAGGAGATTTCGAGGAATTTTCAGGGGATCGAACGAGAGATCGTGGTATCTGAGGCAGCCGGACGCTTTTACGGTCGATCAGGTTTATCGGGCAGGGAATTAAAAGCGAAGCATCCGGGGACACGAAGGAAAGAAGCGTTCTTCTCGGAACGGAGCGAGCGAGGCGAGCTTCGAGGATTTTATAGGGATCCGGCGTATGAATTTATTATCGCGTCAGGATAGCGGAGGAGCCAAGGTCATCGATGGGAGGGAAAGAGAACGATGCAGAGGGAGGCATCGTCTGACCTATGCGTGTATGATTTACGATTTAGTAGACATATACATATATGTATACATATATATGCAATATACTGCACATAATATGCTGCACAGAAATTTATTAGCGTGAAAGAGAGATTAGAGTGACCGAGGTCGTGAAACGTCACCCGAGATCCACTTGGAAGGAAATTGTATCTAAAACGAGCCACTGTCCTGATCGATCTGCTAGATCCGTGTATACAAACACTTTGTTCAGATACAGTTTAAAACAAAATCTATAAGCTTCAGCGAAGAGATCGTGCCAACCGTATTGATTCCATTCATAAAATCAAACGCGATACGAACGGTCAAACGAGACGGCGACCGCCGAGTCGATTGACGCAAAGAAAAAATAGCCCGCGAGCCTGTGAGTTACGCGAGACGCGTACGATCGATTCAGGTTTTTGATTTGACATGATAAACGCGACAGCAGCGTGCGGTTACCGTGATGTTTTCGCGACAGGGCGTGCGAGTGTTCTATATTAAACCCGGCGAAACGCGGGTAGGCCGATTGCGAAACGGACGGCTGATATTTTCGTTACATCGCACGAGTAACTGCTTCCGGCCGAGCCGTTCCCTCTCTCTTCTTCTCAAACCCCGTCGCCGTTCCTCTCTCGCATCCTGCTTTTCCACTCGCTCGCCCGCTGCTCGACTCTATTTTTCTCGCTTTGCTCGCTGGCTCCCTTACTCGCCTACTCGCTCCACTCCCTCCTCCCGCCACCCCGCGTCTCACCACTCTTCCACCGTACCTTCCTCCTCTCTCTCTCTCTCTCTCTCTCTCTTGCCGTTCTTGCGAGAGACCGGGCAGATGCCCGTACTTCAGCCGGCCGGAAACACCTACGCATTCATGGTAGCGTGCGAGGTAGCGATGCCTAGCAATGGGTACGAACCTCTCGCGAAATTTTCGTCAAGCAACCAAGTAAGACAATTGTTCGACTCTTCGTACGACGTAGAATACGTAGAATAAATTATACAATATTTTATTACGACGTCTGAAATGATGTTACAGTTTCTGACCAAAAGCCAAGTCACCAAAGCATGGAACTAAAGATTTTATAAGTATACTC